AAGCAGTCAGGGTTTTTTTTTCCTTTAGTCTGAAGTTTTATAGAGAATGATCTCTTTCATTTTCCTTTTCCTTTTTTTTTTTTCTTAAGATCCACAACACAGTAGGGTTTTCTCAAAATCCTAGAGAACATAACTTTTTCTCTATATAATACTTCCAAAAAAAAAAAAAAAAGAAGGCACAGTTGAATTTGAGGAACATAATAGGTGCTGTTAAGTTCGAGTGAGAAGATTACATATATTTTATATCTGGTGTATACATTTGTCATTTTTATTTCATTTCTGGATAGTGTAGACTGTGACCAAAATAGACCCTGAGATCCTATATTAAAACATTTTATTTTATACTGCTAATCAGAATAACTGATACATACAAATTATGTTTTTAGATTAGAGTTAAAATGGAATTATATTAGGGATGACACTGATCTGCATTGAGGAAAACAAACCAAAAAGCAGCACTTAGTTGTAGCTAACTAATATGAGGCAGTTGGTACAGGAAAGAAGGACTGTCTCATTGGTTCAATTTCAAATTAGAGAGCAGATGAGGAACAGCAAACTATGCTCAATGGATGTGGAAAATGATGAAAATTTGAAGACTTAAAGTTCAGTTTTTAATGTCTTTGTAAAAGATAACACTGTTTTTAAAAAAGGTGTTATTTAATTCACATCCAAGAATTTCTGAGCCAGTTGTTTCTCTTTATCAGTGCCGATTCTATAATGACATAGAATCACAGAATATTCTGAGTTGTAAGGGACCTCTGAGGGTTGTATGATCCCACCTTTTGCTCAGAGAGGCCACCTCGGTGGCTCAGGAATTGCCTGGGTGAGTTTGAGTGCCTCCTAAGATAGAGATTTGGCACCTTCTTGGACTACCTGTACCAGTGTTTGGCTAGTCTTGTGAAATTTTTTCCTGATCTAATTGGAATTTCCCACATTGCAGCTTGTGCCCAGTGCTTCTCATACTTGCAGTAAGCACTTCCAAGAAGATTCTGTCTTCTCTATACCTTGCTTTGAGGCAGTTGAAGTCCACAGTAAGATTTTACTTTAGCATCTTAGGACTGATCAGCCCCATTTCTTTGACTTTCATATCATGCTGAAAGATGTGATATAGCCACCTACAGTAACGTAGTTTTGTGGTGTTCATACCTGATGAAGCTCCTGTGCTTAGCTTAGGAAATCTGTTTTATTTCATGGATGAAATCGCTCCATGCCCACCAAACTTGTGTTGGTCTTTTGGTACTTTTATGTTCTTGATGACTCTTAAACTTTCATGCAAAAAATACTTACTATTCCTGTCTGTAGTGATAGAAAGCAGCTAGATAGAAAGTAACTGTGCAGAAATTATATGCTCTTTTTATTTCTATTTGATTTTCTTTGGAGGGGTTGGGTCATGAATAAGTCACTAAAATAAATGAACCTCAAAGCAGTGTTAATCTTAACAGCTTAACATATTTTAAGAATTATGTCATGGCATTCTTTTTAGCATTGGGTGTTGTCCTGAGCTGCTAATAATAAAATGTTTTAGCAATGAATAAAAATGGATTCTATTTTAATCAGTGCGAATATTCCAGGGTGCATAAGCTGCTCTGAAAACTCACAGGATCAAATTCTGCCCTTGAAGTCAAGTAAAAGGTTTGCATAGAAGTCAGAAGACAGGCTTTGGTCCACAGTGTTTTGCTTGGCTTTCATTTTATTTTTGATAGTCCAGACTGGGGGAGTTTGTAAGGGAAAATACTGTGGCAGAAAAATCTTATTTAAAGATATGCTGTATTCCAGAGAATATTTTAATATGCAGACACATTTTTCTTAGTCTGTTGTGCCAGTAATTACTGTGCTGTGCGTAGGCAAGAAAAAGTCTTTTAAAGAGACAGGCCAGTGCAGATGATCATCATGCCTTAACAATAGGCTCTACATCAGTTTAGACTTCAGGGTACAGAACCAGGAATATCTTACATCAGAGAGTCTTTCAGCTTTGTTGATGTGCTTCTGTGGTTTTGTAGCTGTTTCCCTTAAGTTTCAGTCTCTGCCATGGCCTCTGCACTCACCCAGAAAGTTGTGGTTCAGCATTTTGGGTTGCACTCAGCCCAGGGCGGATGCAGTTGACCTGTTGGGCAGGTGGGCTGGGACAGCACAATAGGCTTTCTTTTTTGAGCTCTTCCTAGCAAGTGAGATTAAATAGCTCATGGCATATAGATCTTGTTTACTTTTTGGTCCTGTAATTTATTTACCATCTTGCATTATATATACATTTGTAAAACTTGGAAGTTACAAAATGTCAGCATCACAGTCTGACTGGCTGCTGTGATTGTGCACGATGGTAACAGTCTTGAAATGAAAAAGAAATACAACTTTTTGCACGCATTCCTTTCCTCATTCAGTCTGAGGAAAGATGGAGGACTAGTCATTTGGTACATGTTATCCTTTTCAATGATTTTACAGTTAACATAGTATTTCTTTAGCAGTGGAGCCTATTTGGTGCTCCTGTTACAGTTCCTAATACCTTGTGGAATCTTAAGATACTGTCTTCTCAATATCTTTGTTGGGTGCTGGGATTAACACACACTACATCTTATGGTTGGCAGATTGAAGCACAGAAATAAAAGCAAATGTTGTGCAAGTTATCAGCAAACTTAATGCACTTAAACTGAGAAATTTAGAAAAGTTTTGTTTCTAGTATTTGTATACAAAGCCATATTCCTTATCCTCTTGAAACTGGAAGTATTTATGACTTCTTAAATTTGACCCTTGGTTTCAGAAGTCAGAAGTAAAGACCACAGAGTGTCCACCTGTGAAAAATTTGGTTTATAGGATTCGATTTACAAGCGAACTTTGCAATGTAGGGATACAGTCTGTTTCTATATGGTGATTTTTAAGCTTTCCCAAGCATGAAACTATTTTGTATATATCAGCATCCTGCCTTTTCTCCAGATATAAGTCTACCCTCTTCTAGTTTAAAGCCATTACCCCTTGTCCTATCTCCCACTATACAAAAAAACTTTTTTTTTTTTTCTTCTATGAATGGTTCTATTTCAATTTATTTTTTGTATTACAGGCTGCCTTTTTATCAAGTAGGAGCAGAGGTGTCTTAGAGTTTGCAGAAGGGAATCTATATTAAGGTGAAATGGTCAGATTTCATCCTAAGATTTTTTTTTAAATATATATATCTTCTGAGTCCTGTTTTGTGGTTACATGGAAACAGTAATTTTAATTTAGAGGATTTTTATTTTTTTTAATATTGGATAAAAAACCACCAAAACTTGCCAGCAATCACTTAAAACTCTGTTGATGCTAAATTAGAGAGTGGCAAAGTAGTACATTTTGCCTGTATGCAACATCAAAAGAACGTGGTGCATTACAATTGGCTCCAATTTCCCAGTTTTGATAGTTTAGCAGAGAAAATGTTTTTATGGAATAAAAGCCTTTATTTATTTAATGCTAAACCTTGATTTTTTTGTGCCCACAATTATTTTATAATCTGTACTGATACAGAGCACTGACTTCACTGCTGTCCCTGAAGATTGGGATGTAGCATATCTGACTATGCCATGGTTACACTCATAGTCAGCCTGTTGGAGCTGTAAGGCATAGCCAGAAGGCCATAAGGGTAGAATCTTCATCCTGTTCAGAGTATAAAGTAAGAGGATGTATGTACATGATTTTTACAGATGTGTATATAGGCAAGTTTTCACAAGAAAGTACTAAAGTGGCCTTTACTACCAGCTGTTGCTCCCAAGTGAATTTCAAATCTGTGTTCCGTGAAGCGTTAAAATGCTAGAGCTTTTGGAAAAACAACAATAAATACTTTGCTAGGTAAACAGTTTTTCCAAGTCTAATTAACATAAATTATTGATATAAAAATCACTATGATGAACAGTCATTTGTTTTATAAAACTTTATCCTTGATAGCTTTATTTTGTACAAGTTAAAAACATCTGATAATATATGAAGTGTTGGGTTAAAGGTGTTCATCTTTCTACCATTTCTACATATGCTAATGTAGGAAGGACTTGGAGAAGTCCTCATGTAAATGCCTAAGGATGCAATTGGTAATCTGTAGCATTCCCTTATCTCCCTCCCTCAATTACTAACCTTGTAATTGAAATTTATAGTTTTGCTATGATAATGACAGGAGTATTTTCCAGCCCATATCTGTTTGCTGGTCCAGAACTGAGTGAATTTAATACTTCAGGAGCAGATTTTAATCAGTTTAAACACAGCAGAGAAATTTAAATTTGAGTGGCTCTGTAGTGTTAGGAAAATTTAGGTTATGAGTGATAAAAATGAAAATGTTAGGTTAGGAGTGATAGGAAAATATTCTGGTCCAAACTCCTCAGATATCTAATCAAAGTTAGGTTGTGTAGCTAAAGATGTTGTCCAGTGGGAGTCCGACATTCCAGGGATGGTCATTCCTCAGCCTCTTTGGGCAGTCTGTTCTAGTACATACTGTATTTTGGTTTTGGCTTGGTGAAAAGTTGCTTGCTCAGGCAAGGAAGCTTGCTGCTGCATCTGGACATCATCGTGCTCATGGGATGAGCCATACATATACTTTAATAAGCTTGTCTTTGAGTGACCAGCTGTCATGTGCTCTTTTGTCCTTCAGCATCCCATGTGAGCCTACTTGCCAGTGCCCCAGAGAAGCCATTCTTTGCTCTCACACTGTTCAATGTCATTTTTTATTTGCCTTCCTCACTTCCTTTAGTTTTTCTGTCACACATAAATGCTTATTACTAATACCTGTGAGTTGCCACAACAGGGTCAGAGACTGTTTGCAAATAATAAGTTTAGCAATTTTTTAGGTGAGGGACCTTGTGTACATAGATTGCTCATCTGAAAGTAGTCTGCTTGTGATATTAAATGTCTCTCCAGTTCTCTGAGTTTTCAAACCCTCATTGCATTTGTGTTTTAAAACCTTTACTTCTAAGTAGCAAGACTTTCATGCAATATATCTTACCCACTATGTTAATATTAACTTTTTCATCATTGAAATGCCTCTTTTTCAGATTACGTATTTCAGTCTGTGGTATTATAATAAGCAGAATCAGCGCAGATGGGTAGATTTGGACAAGCCTCTGAAAAAGCAGCTGGACAAATACGCCTTAGAGCCGACTGTGTATTTCGGAGTAGTGTTCTATGTGCCTACTGTTTCTCAGCTTCAGCAGGAGATTACCAGGTAAACTTCATGCCTGTGTCTGTAGTTTTGCTTTCAACATTCTGAAATATATGGCTAATTTTAAAATAGCCTGCTTCCCCCACACACCCCTCTACAGAAGTGGAAATTATTACTTTAGGCAGAATTTATGTTCAAACTGTGTATTTAATTCCCATTTGAATATTTAAAATATGTGATCTTAGAAAGGTATTGAAAACTGTTTTCAGTAACAGGCTTTTTTCAGCAATACTTGTATGACTAGACTTTTAATTGTTTTCCTCCCTTTATGTTGTCTTTGGGTTTTTTTCTTTTTTTTGGGAGTTTTTTTGGGGTTTTTTTTGGTGGTGTTTTGAAGAGCCATCTGTTGCTTTTGGGGATGCTCATGCTGCACAAGACAGCATTTTATTTAGCTGTTCTTGCCTCTGTTTTGCTTTCAGTACTTTATGTACTTTCAGTACATTGGCAAACTACAGGCTAAGTTTCAGTTTGTGATTTTTTTTTTTTTGTGTATCACTGGGAAATAAGGATGGATGTTAGCTTTGATATCATATATCCATTTCTACTGTGAATTTGGGGAACATCACAGAAGTGGTGCTGACTGCAGGGGGAAAGTGAAATTGAGCATATAGTAGCCTGTTATTCCTATGGGCCTATACATTGGCTTGTAGTGACCTTAATGTATGTAGTTTTTCTGATTTAGTTATTATTTTTTAACAGGCAAATGAGTACAGACTGGATTACAAACATATATTTGTTATTTCAGAAATCTGTGTTTGCGTTAATTAACCCATTCAAGCTGGTAACTTCAAGCTGGTCCTACTCTGAGTGAGGAGTTGAACCAGGTGATCACTGAGGTCCTTTCCAGCTTAATTTATTCTGTGGTTACATGAAACTGTCTTTATATACTCTGGTGCTAGAATAACTTTCCAGAGACCTTTCCCACTAATTGTGGTATGAAAGCTTTTCAGGGAGGTAAGCCTCTTCATGCAGACACTGGTGCTTTAATGTGTTGCTCAGTGCCTCGCAGCTTTAAGGTTCTTTTTTATGTGTAATACCTGTGTTAATATTTTCTTTCTAGAAAAGTGCTAAGTATGGGACTTTCTCTCAGCAATTTTACTGGCTTAAAAAATAATTCTTTTGTCTTCTTTTTTTTAGTCTTTGGTTCAGATTCTGTGCTTGTTGGTATGCTAGGATGCATTGCAGTAAGATACATGTTGTGTTGCATTGCTAGAAAGACCTTGCATATTCTTCTCTGGCATTAAAGAATTTAATGTTTATATTGGAACGTTAATAGCAGTTTTGCAGTGTGTTGCCATGTAGAAAGCAAGAATTCATTTGCCAACCTTATATTGAAGTCCTAGATGATGGTACTTGCTTTGATTTCCAATAGTGAGAGTCTGAATTAGTTTCAGAAGTCATTTTTTTTTCATGCCTTTTGAATATAAATGAGATTGAGCATGTTGAAGCAAATTTTGTTTAATGTATACCAGGAAATGGAAATTGACAAAAGGGATGGTATTTGTACTATCACAAGGTAGCGTCAAGATTCTTCATTTGCATATTTACTTTTAATAACAGCTCTATGGAAAGAGCTTATGTTCTGCTGTTGGACTGGAAAGATTTATTTCCCCAAATGCCTTGATATGTGATGGCTTTTTCCTTCCCTTTTTTCTAAGGCCTGGGTTTAGGCCCGACTTTTCTTGCGTGTGTTGTATAAGGATGTTAACTACTGTCACACAGCATACTGCGCTTTTGTAGCAGGATCCAGAAGACTCTAGCTAATATTTATAAATTGTCACCTTATTTAACAGGTTGGTTAGATAGTGAGGGAAGAAAGTTGCCTTTTAGCCTGATGAAAATCTGTGTGTAGTTCACCTGACTTTTCTAATCCCTGAATGTTTCCAAGTTCTTGGTATTAAAGCCTTACTACACAAGAGTTAATGTACAATACGAGGAAGTTAAGCAGCTTTTAAAACTAGACGTATTGGAGACAAATGTCGTTGGCAAAGTGTGTATTACAATGGTGTTTTGAGGTGTTTTAGGCTCAAGATAGGGTGTTTTGCAGATGGCTGAGAGAGGCAGAAGAGTTCAAGAAACTAGTGGTTCAGTGTGTGAACAAATGGTACACCTAGCAGTGGTTGCACGTACAAGAGATGACCCAGGAAAAGGTCAGATTAAAGGAGAAAAAAAGGTGTCTTGAAAGTAAGAATAAAATGTACTCGGAAGTTGTAATGCAGAAACGAAAGCTGCTATTGTGCTTAAAGGGATGTGCAATGTTGGATCTATTGAAAAGGAATGCAGCAGTACAGCAGCAGTGCATTAACAACACCAGTGTGCTGAACATTGTAAAGAGGAGATAATAAAAATGCTAAAGAAGAGGTAAAAATAATAAAACAATATTTGGGTATGGTAGTAGGTAGAAATCGTGGAGATTCTTTGTTTCAGGAGGTAGCAGTATTTGATTCTGCAGTGATGTATGAAAGCTAAGGGAGGAGCTAACAAAGACTGTGAAGGGTCCGAATGGTGTGGAAGATTGCCCTCCACAAAAACTGGGGAATGCAGAGAGGAATAGGAAATGCAGGCATGTTTATCTGCATTCTCTTTAAATTAAGCAGACCATATTAGCTTTTTCTTTTTTTCTTGTGTAGGTATCAGTATTATTTGCAATTAAAGAAAGATATCTTGGAGGGCAATATTCCTTGCACGCTGGAGCAAGCAATACATCTGGCTGGGTTAGCTGTTCAGGGTAAGTTGTGCTAACTAGCTAACGCTGCATTAGAAGCTTTGTGGATGTATTTTCTATTGCAGTTTTTCTGTTTATCACTCAAAGACTGAATTCCATAAGTTATGAAAGACTTACTCCTTAGAACTTCCTTGCATATGCTGAAGAGGTGGAACAGTGGGCCTGAACTTGTGGCATTTCTGTGCAGTCCTCAGACGTGTGCCTGGGTGTCTAACATGGAGTTGGGTTTGAATTAGACATTAGAGTTCCTGTGGGGGCAAAGACTTCAGTTGTCTGCTTACAGACATTTCATCTGATTCTGTTAATAAAGACACTTTATTCTGACATAGTAACAAAAGAAACATGCTTTGCTAAATCAAACTTGAATGTACTTGTATCTCCGCATTTTCTCCCAAATATCCTAACATGTAAGATTATTTCAAGTTTGTATGCAAGACTGTTAACAATTTTTGTGTTCAAATCGCTCCCAAAGACCCATTTCTGTGATAGCTACATGAAAATGAAGTGATAGTTACATGAAAATAGCCACTGTATTTTTCCTGACTGGAGTCAGATGGGATACAGTAGACACCAGAGAGCCACCAGTTCTAACTCTATCTGCATTGGTCATGTCTCGTATTCCCTGCTTGTTAGATCTTAAATCTCTCAAAATAAACGTTTTTTAATGGCAGCAGCTTTGTTTAGTGTTTGTATATTGCTACACAGCAATTGCCACTGCAGTACATCTAACAGCAAATGTAAATCTGCCAAAAACTGAAAGGGACTTAAAGTCATTTGCAGTACATATGACTTGTTTTTTTCTGGGTTTTTTGTTTTTATTACATTTGTTGGTAATATCACATTAAATATGATGTCTATGCTTTTTGAAAACGTGGTTGCCAGTAGAGTATACTGAATTGTGTTAGTACCTTGTTTGTATAATGCATCTGTTTAATGAATTTGTGAATCTTTTTAATCTAAGCCAGGATTTAATGGTTTTCAACTGACAAAGTCTTGCTTTGTTATTTCCATATCTTTGGACAGTGCACATGTCTCTCTGCTCAGTGAGTTGTTTATAGAAATATTTCAATATAAGCCTGTTTCCAGGTTGAAAATATTTATCCCTTTAGCTTTCATATTCCTTTCATATTCTCATGTAAGAGAGAAACTGTATGTGATTATAAAGCAGTGAAAAAACAAGTCAGAAAAAGCACAGGTAAATTAATATGCTCTAGTGACTGCAGTTGCTTATACGAGGTAGGTGGGTTAATTTGAGCTGGTGAATGAACAAAAGCAGTTGTTTGCTGTTTCAGGTGAACTCACTTCAAGAATAATCTGTATTTTAAATAATTATCATAGGCTAATTCTAAACAGTGCTTTATCTCAAGTGCTGTGTTGGTGTAGCGTGTCACAAGTCCTCCCCTTTCATCACAAATAACTTGCATATTAATTGTTAATCCTGAATACAAATTTGGTTCCTAATGTCTTTAAAATTATACTGTTATGGATGGATCTGTGTTCTTGGGGTTTGTGTTTATATTTCTGGAAGCAGCTGTTCCATACCGACTGCTGTTTTCACAGTTTCTCTTGTGAGACTGGTACATAGCTTCTACAATTTAGACTGCTTTATTTCTCTTCTTTGAAGCATTGGTTAGCTTTTTTCCTGGAAATAGAAAAAGAGGCAAATTCCTTGGGATGCCATTTAGCATGACACAAATTCAAAACTGTTATTAAAATCAAACCTGTTATTAAGCCCCAGAGTATGGGAAGGCTTCTAGGTCCCACTTTCTGTGCGTCTGTGCAGTGTTTTGAGTGCAGCTGAAAGTTACAGCAGTGTATTGGCACTATTCTGCAAGTAATTTAAGTATCTTGACAGGAGGGAGTAAAGAAGGTGGAGCCAGACCTTTCTCAGGCAGTGGGTGCAAGATGAAATATATTAAATTCTGTCTAAATGTGATAAAAGTTTTCAGTTGTATGAGTGGTGAGACACTGGAAACAGGTTGCCCAGAGAAACTGTTAAGTTTCCATCTGCTGTATTCAAAACTTGACCAGAGAAAGCTTTGAGGCAGTGTGCTGTAGCTGACCTTGCTTAGGGCTAGACTTCCAAAGGCCCCTTCCATTCTCAACCACTCTGGGATTAAAAAATTAAACAATTAAAACCCCAAGGAACTAAGGAACTTGGAGCAACACTGATTGTTTTATCATTTCTTCTTTCCTGTCCACAAGAAACCTTACCAGTTTTTCAGAACAAGGTTAAAGTATGGGTTTTGGTTTTAGTTTTCCTCATCATAAACATTACTGATTAGTTTGTTACATTGTTTTGATTTCAGATCATAGTTCAGTAGGGTGGAGATTTGCTGCTTGGAGATCCTGCTGCAATTAATTGGGTATTCAATCATTTTATTGCAAATGTTTGAATCCAATAAATTTTTTATTTTTTAGCTGATTTTGGAGACTATGATCAGTATGAATCTCAGGAGTTCCTACAAAGATATGCTTTGTTTCCAGTGGTAAGTATTTACTTTAAATTGATAAATATAAATTCTTAAATTGATAAATTTAAATCTTTCTTTAGATTGGTAAATGCAGGTTATTATTAAAGACTCCATAATCCGTCCACCTTACTGCTTGTCCAACTCAGTAAAGCTTTTCTTTGAGACTGGAGTGAGTCATATTACACAGAAGCAAAGATGTTGCAAGGTTTTTTTAGTTTTTTCTTTTTTTTTTTATTAGTTTCATTGTATATTACACTGAAAAAAAGGTTGGGGTGGAGGTGGGAAAGTGAGTAAAACTTCAAAACAGTACTTGCACTTTTTGGTTTTGTTTGTGTGCATATTACAGCATTTAAGCTACAGGAATAGAGTGGAGGGTTTTCTTGCCAGTGTCAAGAACCTGTAATTAAACTTAATTTTGTAGAACAATAGCATGTATTTCATTCTATAATTACTATCTTACCTTAAGGGTTGGCTACAAGAAGAAAAAATACTGGAAGAAGCAACACAGAAAGTTGCCTTGCTACATCAGAAGTACAGGTAACATTTCTAACACTCATCATTACTTAATTTTGATGTGATTACTTCAGTAGCTTAGGACATTGGGAATTAGTTGGACTAATTTCACCTCCCATTTAAATGAGTTTTTCACTGATACGTCTGTATTAAAATCACAGTATTTTTTTTTTCTTGCTGAATGAAAGTGAAAGGAGAACAGAATGACCAGTAAAATAAATGAGAGGATTCTGCTTGAAAATTAAGAATACAGACACAACTGAATAGTATGGCTTCCTCTGCATGTTTCTGAAACTTGTTTATAGGAAGTTGTGACCCCAGTAAGCATGTTCCTTGATAAACAACATTGGCAGATACTGACAGCAGTAGACATATGGAGACAGTTACTGTGCCAGAATGCTTATGATCTAAAATAAAAGGTAGCTAAGATGCAGTAGTTCAAGACAAAGGAAAGTTAAATTCTCTGTTGTCAACTCATCAGTGAAAAAAATGTTTGTGACTATGAGAGTAATACTGATTATTTCTTACTGTGTTGTTTTAAAAGAGCAGTTTGAAAATTTCGAATCCGTTTATCCTTGAAATACTTTCATAAGAAGATTGTATGGTTAAGGTTCAGCAAAGAAAACTGAATCTGCATAACATTAGTAAAAAGTGAAGAAACAGAGACTGATGATTGAAAAAGTATTGCGAGACGTAAGAATGAGCATGACAACATTTTGCAGACAGATATAATGTCTTTTGTGAGATCAGCTGAGGTAGGTAGGGAAACAAGCTTTTAATCCCTGTGACACTACTGTAAGTCTGTGAGAAAACTATCTTTGCCAAGTGGTCTAATTAAAAAATAATATTACCTTTACCTACAGATCTTCTCATGTTCTCAAACCATTATAGTTAAAACTCAGCATTTAAAAAATGAGACTCTCCTTCCTGAGATGTGAAGCATCAAGCTTCATCTCGGTACTTAACATGTATACTGCAGTAGGAGAAATTCAGGTCTTGAACACATGCCCCAGAAAAATCATTCTGATACAGTGAGAAAATCTGGTGACAATGATGGATGTCAAGAAGAATGTGATACTTGTCTGCCATAAGCAGAGATTATAATTTTAACTGATCTTTGTTGCATTTACCCCTAGAAATGCCTGAGATAAAGAGGTTGCTAGAATCAAAGTGTAAAGGCTGAGACAAATATATCAGCCTTTGGGACAGATAAAAATAGCATGATTGAGGGTTGCCTGGATGTCTTGTGGATGCTTTTCTAGCTTTTGACAGTGTCAGTCAGAGTAAAACAAAGATGATTTTTTCTTACTGACAGTACTAGCTAATTGTTATTTCCATTTGTAGAGGCCTTACTCCTCCTGATGCAGAAATGCTATACATGCAAGAAGTAGAGAGAATGGAGGGCTACGGCGAAGAGACCTATCCTGCAAAGGTAAACAGTGCTTTAATCTTTGTCTCAGTTCCTTTTTCCACTATCTAAAAAGGTTTACTTCCTGACAAAACAAAATAAAACTCTAAACCACACCTCCCTTTTTCTCCCCCAGAATTGTTAAAACAGTTGCTTCTTATGTAACTTTTCTTCTAAAGACTTTTTTCTGTATTTGCATAATATTTTGCAACTTCATACAGGACAGCCAAGGAAGTGACATATTCATTGGAGCGTGTCTTGATGGTATCTTTGTGAAACACAAAAATGGTCGTCCTCCTGTTGTATTTAGGTTAGTATTGTTCTTTCTTAAAATATCTTTGCGCACTTCACATTTTAGGTGTGTTCCTCACTAGCATGAATGTGAGGAATGTCATAGATGTGATGTGTGTTTATTAATTTGATAAAACCTGAACATAGTCTTGTTGTTGTCATGCTACAGTGAATACTTAGATCCATTGGAATTTTTCAAAGTATTGACTGCAGGATGAATCTCTTTAAGCCAGATTAATTCAAAGAGATGAACATTTAATGTAAATTTCATTGCAAAACATTTGTGGAGTCAAAAAGGAACAATTCTCTATGCATAAAGCATCTTAAGTCCTGAGATGGGCACATCGTGTTACTTAGAAATATTCAATTGTAAAATTATCCAGGAGTTCCTTTCATATATTACATATAAAAGAAATAGAGGAGAGTCACTTGGTAACATTTATTTCATTATTTCGAATTAATATGTTGTTTTAGTTTATTATTTAATATTCTGAAGTTAAATTGTGGATATAGACTTGTATGCAGCTCACCTAACAGTTAAAATTCAGTCTTCATGTGAAACAGCCTGATTCCCACTGACTTGAAGAGGGGTTGCTTGGGCATCTTTGGATAGAATTTGGAATAAATTTTTAAGAATACATATTGATAGTTTGGGATTTGGTGGTTTGTTTTTTAAATCTTAGTAATTTGTAGTTACTGCTAGAGCAAGGAAGGCTTTATACTTAGTGAAATTTAATCCTCTAGAATAGAATTGTTTGGCTGATTATGAACTGAAACTTGAAATCCTGTGATCCAGCAGTTACTGGAAATCATGGTGAATTCCAGGGGTTAGAGAAGGTAGCAACTGTGTTTCCTGCTGTTAGTGGCTTTGTTTAATATAATTATTAAATACAGTACTGTTAACGGTTGTTCACAAAATTCTCTGTCTCTGCTCCTGAGAGGAGAGCTGAAGCCAAGCTCTTTTTAATTGTGTAGAGCGGTAGAAGTACCCTACTCTGCTTTTTTTTGCAGAATGAAGCAACAAAATCTCTGCTGACGGGTTTTCCAACCACACAAGGGGAGAGAAATAAAGCTTTGTTCATTCATTTAATGTAATTTCCCAAAGAATTGTGTATTCAGGGTCTGTGTAAACATAAGACAATACTTGCACATTGGAGAGCATCAGAGAGTATTCACGTTCTGATTTCAGGATCTAGTTTTCTGCTCTTTGCTTATTTGTTGTGTGGCTGTGGGCAGTTCTGGTGGGGATAGATATACCATGGTTATTTGGGTGGCAAAAAAGCATAGACAAGCACGGTATACAAAGGCTGGTTTATGCTTCAGATTGGTTCAAGTAATTTCATAATTATGTCCATAAATGCCTATGAACCAAAGCCTTAAATTGCATTTGTTATAAATTGGAATGGGGACACTACTGTTTCTCTACCTCACAAATCTGATTTTCAGTAACTATAGAAAATGCTATCAGCCCCATCTTTGTGATGAAAAGGGAAGTCATATAAACACCTTTAGGGAGTCCTGTGTGTAGATGGTGCTTTTTTACTGTGTTTGTGTACTGCAGAATATTCTTTTAATAAATCAATGATACAGGCTTTATCTGAACTAACACAATACTAATGATCTAACCACATCTGTATTTGACAAGAAGTTGAAGAAATAAATGGTATTATATTTCTTGGAATTGAAGTTTTTCTCATTTGTCAATGTGCAAGAGAGTTCTTGAAAATATGTGTAATCATGCCTTAATGGCTTTGTTGAGTGTAGATTTCCCCCCTCCCATACCCATCTCCTAGAGTGTATGGTTTGCTTTCAAGCACTTGGGACATTATAATTTACTGATAACTAAATTTATCTAAATTTCATTTAAAAAAAACCCAAACCCAACAACAAAACCACTTGAAAGAATTTCAAGTGGAAGACAAGGAATAAACTTGTTAGTGTACATGTTGCACATCTTCAAAAGTGTCATATACATATTTTAATTCAGCAGTCATTGAATGGATATGGAAGTGATGGTCTGCAACTTGTTCAGATATATTGCTGAACTCTTTATTTGTTCTCAGTTCTTTATCTGTATTCTTGGTGGGGATTCTGTTCTTCAGTATCATTTTCTGTGGTTTGAAAATCAGAGCTTGACAGTCATGTTCTATCATCTCCTTTGTTTGCAGGTGGCATGATATTGCCAACATGTCCCACAACAAATCCTTTTTTGCATTAGAGCTGGCAAACAAAGAAGAGACAATCCAGTTCCAAACTGTGAGTAGATTTTTACTTCTATTTTTTGCACTAAGACATCAGTAAATAAGAACAAGTTAAGACTGCTAATTTAACTCAAAGGATAAAACCTTCTTTTTTTATATTTAGCAACTTTGAACTGTATGATTAAGTCCAAAGTAATAATTCTGTTTCTGGCTAGCTTTCTGCAGGAAGGCATAAAAAAATCTGCCCTTTGTTGTTTAGTACATTGGCAAGTTTGGTTCAGATGGTCATAAACATTTTTATCCATTCTAGGAAAATTTCTAGCATGTTTTTTGACTTTTAAATCAGTGGCATTGAAAGATAAACACCTTGGAACTTTGCTGGAATGGGCCACACCGTTCCTTGCAGAATGAATCCTGTGTAGCATCTGCAAGTTCCCTTTGTCAAAAAGACAGCTGTTGACAATCTTACGGCATGACATACATATACTGTAAACATACAATGTTAGTTTTATAGCTGATAAGAGTGTCTTCAACAAAAGGCTTTTACATTCAACTTTCATAAGTCTAATAAAATAGGCTAGAATGAATGTTCACATCCACAAAGTACAGCTTTAGGGAGAACCTGGTGACAGTAATGAAAGTATATTAAAATTAAATTGGTCAATGATAATTTAATTTAAAAAATTTCAGTGGCTTGTCTGAAAGCAAGTAAAGGGTATGAATATTTGGCTTAATATGCAATTTTTGGTTTTGTTTTTTTGGCAGGAAGATATGGAAACAGCGAAATATGTGTGGAGGATGTGTGTGGCCAGACACAAATTTTACAGACTAAATAAATGCAGCCTGTAAGTAGAATATATTACCAGAACTCTTGGTGCCCTTGAAGCTTCCATAAAGAAGTGAAATCTTCTATAACCTCTGTGATGTCTTTACTGTCCTTTTCAGATGGTAGAAATTAATAAGTTGGGGTTTTTTTTTCTTAATTTTTTTTTGACAAAATACTTATTACCAGTTTCTCAAGTGTGTTCTACTTTATGCAGAGGACATTATGAAACACTGAAATCTTAGCAAAAGTAACGGTGTTTGGCCCATGCTGCTGGACATGTTTTAGTTGCTTCAGGGGCTACTCTTACTAGAATGTTTGTGAGCTACTGGAGTCACTGGGATTTTGGCCTGGGTTTGGGTGAACTGCTCTGAAAGGGCACTCTAGAGGCCTTTAGAAGGGCGGGAAGTGTATGTGAAGCACTCCTGAAATGTGCTGGATTGACAGCTGAGAGGTATGTGGTCCTTTGGATATCCATGGAATCCGTATAGCTCAAGTAGCACCAGTGCAAAGTAAATTTAGTACAATTCATCAAATTAAATTTAAATGGGCTGATCTCCAACTTGTAAATCAAGGACTGGAATTTTAGCTATTCCACTGGTACAGCTTTCCTTCAGTTAAGTTACTTCAGTCAAAGAACAGAGAATTAGACCCAGTGAATAGTCTGTCATTAAAAAAGCATGATTCACAAATGTTCATGGGGTTCAGGATTGTATGGGAGGAGATACCTATGGAGGGGTTGGTCCAAATTTTACTAAGGCCAGTGGAAAGATGATGGAGTATTTTGTACTACAGTAACTTTTTAGTGTGTTCAATGCTGATTTTACATTAGAAGAGGAAAATGAATTTGGAACAGTGTGGACCTCATATCTCTTAAGCTTGTAAACCTGCCTGCCTTTTGAGAGGGATAAGAAATCTTGGTAGAAGTAGTGCATTTGTGGGACTTCTGCACTGCTATCCAAATAATGTTAGTTATGTGGTTCTGTATTGAATGTCAGTGTGACATTGAATGTCTAGGATTACTCATTTTAACCCTTTCATCATAACATGGTTTTACTAATAAGTCCTCAAAAAATCTTTTCTGATTATCTCCAGTCTAAGATTCCCTGTCATCCGGTCCTGTTGCTAAAAACTGTCTTACGCATGCCTGTATTAAGTTCAGGTTTTGTTGTTTGTTTTGTTTTGTTTTCTCTTTATTTGTACATACGTTGTCTTTAGAGACTCCCTGGACTCTCCATCTGAGGAGGGCTCTCAGAAATCTTCCCTCATTCTTTCCCTTCCACGCTTTCCAATCCTTTCTCGTCCTTCACTTCCCAAAGGGTGAGCTGAAAAATCATCTTTCTTTCTGAAATCTGGCCGTTCCTGCATTTGTATTTTTGTGCCATCTCTTGACATATGTCTTGCTACAAGAAGCGGAATAGAAGTGCAGTATAAGATGGGGAAAAAGGAGCTTAAGTTTTCTGGACCTTATATCCTGGAGGCAATCCAACAACTTATGAAAATTTATTGCTGTTAGCTTGAATGTTAGAATATGCAAATGCTTGTGCAGTATAGTCACATTTTCCAGTTCCTGTAACATCTAAAACATTACATTCTGTAAACAATTTCATGTCTAGTCATGTAGAACAGGTAACTTAACGGTATAAGATTTTACACGGGGTTCAAATTTGGAAGTAGTCCCTAGTTACTCTGCTGCTTTGTGATTCTGCCCATACTGTTTGTGATGGTGGTTTATCCACAGAGCTCTTTCCATTTGAGACAGCTGGGGAGAGCTATTTAACTCACGGCCTGACTCCAAGAAATGTAGAGTGATTTTAAACTGAACTTGGGATCACTTTTCAAGGGTTGAAGTAGGTCTTGTTGTTGTTAAGAAAAATTTCTCACCATAAAACTCCTTCTGTAGACAAACCCAGACTGTTACAGTGAATCCTGTTAGAAGGCGGTCTTCATCCAGGATGTCTATGGTAAGGACAGCAAATAGTTTTGCATTTTCATGAATTTCATTTGATTTTGAATCAGGCAATAATCTCCTTCAGTGAAAAACATGAGTCTAGTATGTGAGGAACTGTTTCTAACTTGCAGAAAAAGCTGCTATGTAATATCCAAATTATGGAATTACAGTAATTGCTGTGAAAAATATTTTAAACACTTTTGGTTTTATTTTGATTGCTCTGTATCTGACAGACTCTCCTAGATGTCAGATGGCAAGATACAGTCTTGGGTTGGTGGTGTGTAGTTTTGGTTTTGATTCCTTTTTTTTATTGTTTCTTGTATGACCTCACAAGAAAATCACCTCTGCAGATTTAGAGAAATGGTTTAAGATGAAGGCTTTGTGTGTTTGTGTGTATTATACATTTCATATTATATATATAATATTATGCATTACATAAAAAATATTCAAGACATTTTTAAAATAAATCATGAGGTTTTAACTAACAATAAGATGCTTGCTTTCTTAGCCCAAGCCTCAGCCTTATATGATGCCTCCACCACCTCAGCTTCATTACAATGGTCATTATACTGAACCATATGCATCATCCCAAGGTAAGTTCATTAAACCCAAGGCTACGGTACATAAGTGTAGAAGGCAAAAGCTATGATTTGTACTTACAGCTACTTTAGCTAGAGCTGAATAAAGTCATAGGGTGAACATGGGACAGGTTTATACTACAGCACTCATTGAAGTGCATAGAGGCATTTAGGCTAATGTGAAATACAATCATGGAATCATATAATCATTGAACCATTTAGGTTGGGAAAGACCCTTAAATCACTAAGTCCAACCATTAATGTGACACTGCCAAATCCTAAGCATGTCCCTGAGCACCACATCTACATATCTTTTAAACACCTCCAGGGATTGTGACTCCACCACTTCCCTGGGCAGCCTGTTCAAATGCTTGACAACCCTTTCAATTAAGAAATTTTTCTTGATGTCCAGTCTAAAGCTCCCCTGATGCAAATTGAGACCATTTCCTCTTGTCCTGTTGCTTGTTACTTGGGAGAAGAGATAAACACCCATGCTGCTACAACATCCGTTCAGCTAGTTTTAGAGAGCAATAAGGTCTCTCAGCCTCCTTTTCTCCAGATTAAACACTGCAGTTCCTCAGCCACTGCTCCTCTATATCCTCTTCTATGGGATATGAGCAAAGTTAGCTATGATAGCATATACAGCAGCTGTATATAGACTCTGGTCTCCTGCTGTTTAACTGATCTCATGAGACAAGTGCAGATCCTGGTGTCGATGTTTTTTCTTTCAGGTAATGAGGTTTAAGATTGATACGGATTTTGTTTAACTTGGTCTGAAACTCAGCAAACCTATCATAAGCAGAAGAAAGCCATTCTTACACTGAGATGGTGTTTTCCAGTAGGAATTTGTATCATCTAAATGAACATAATAGGTTATTGTAGTATACATACCTTCATTATCCACAGCGAAAAGCTGTGATTGTTTTGGGTTTGGGTTGGGTTTTTTTTCCTTCCCATTTCAATGCATAGCTAAGAACAACTGAAATTTTGAAAATTGAAACATTAGTTAGGTATATCTTAATAGAAAGATACATTTGTTTGATGTCTTGGACATATTGTTCTTAAACTTTACTTTCAGATAACCTCTTTGTGAGCAATCAGAATGGATACTACTGTCACTCTCAGACTAGCTTGGATAGAGCCCCTCATGACTACACTGGTCGGATCCGCAATGGTAGTGTCTATAGTGCACACAGCACGAATTCCTTGAACAATCCACAACATTACTTGCAGCCATCCCCCATGTCCTCTAACCCAAGCATTACTGGAAGCGATGTCCTCAGAACTGATTATATACCATCTCATAGACATAGCGCATTAATACCACCCTCTTATCGTCCCACACCAGACTATGAAACTGTGATGAGACAGCTCAACAGGGGAATGGTGCACACAGATAGGCAGAGTCATTCAATGAGAAATCTTAACATCAGCAATTCATATGCTTACAGCAGGCCTGATGCCTTAGTTTACAGTCAGCCTGAAATACGAGAACATGCTCACTTTGCTTCGCCACAGTCTAACCATTATCCATTTAACCTGAACTACAGTTTTCACAGTCAATCCCCCTATCCCTATCCTGCTGAAAAGCGCCCAGTTGTTGGGGCAGTCAGTGTGCCTGAGTTGACAAATGTGCAGCTCCAGGCTCAGGACTATCCAGCACCAAATATAATGAAGACCCAAGTCTATCGACCACCTCCCCCATACCCGTACCCAAGACCTGCAAATAGTACTCCAGACCTTTCACGACATATCTACATTAGCAGCAGTAATCCAGATCTTATCACAAGGCGAGTGCACCATTCTGTCCAGACGTTTCAGGAAGACAGCCTGCCTGTGGCACATTCTCTTCAGGAAGTCAGTGAACCTCTAACATCGGCACGCCATACTCAGCTGCAGAAAAGGAACAGTATTGAAATAGCAGGCTTGACTCCCAGCTTTGAAGGAATAAGAATTAAAGAGAGGACCATGTCAGCTTCTGCAGCAGATGTGGCTCTCCCAAGAGTTATTTCAGAAGGGTCACAGCCCAACATTCTGATGGAGAGAACAAAGCAAAAAGAAAGTAAGCAAGAAGAGGGTGTAAACTGTGATCATAAGAAAACCCTTTCGGATGCCACTATGCTGATTCACAGTAGTGAGGAAGAAGAAGAATTTGAAGAAGAGAACAAGGCTAGTACAAGCCTTTCTCCCCTCCCTGAAGATCAAACTCAGCTTTCATCTGTTATGGGTGGTTATTCTCGTGATTCAGTACTCAGCTACCCTTATAACTCTGTTGCTTCGTCTGCTGGCCCTTTGCATATTCTTGAGCCTAAATTACATATTACAGAGACAGAAAAGAAAGTGAAAGATATGAGCCCCATTCATTTACTAGTAGAAAATCAGGTACAGAGAAGAGGGGAAGGACTGCTTACTCCATCTATGTCAGAATCTGATCTTACAACATCAGGGAGATACAGAGTAAGGAAAGATTCATTAAAGAAGAGACCTGTGTCTGATCTTTTGTCTGGGAAGAAGAATATTGTGGAAGGCCTTCCCCCACTAGGTGTAAGTGGATACAATTCCTCTTGTTTCATGTTGTTCTGTAGCAGGAGTTGTGTCGGGGTTTGTTTAAGATTTGGTGTTTTTTTAATCAACCTGAGATGCTTTTAAAATGTGGATTAAAAGCAAACTTAACCTTTATGTTCCTGCTTTTCCATGATTAACTTTGCCCAGCCATGTATGAGTTGTTTTATATTTCCCCTGCCCCCAAATCCAGCTGTGCAGCTTCTGTCCATCGGATACACCTAACCTGGCTAGCAACTGTAGAACAAGCTAGTTTAAAGTCAGTTCATAGATCGCAAATTCTGCCATACCATTCCTTATCTGGAACAGAAGCAATTCTTTCCATTCCACTACCAGCTTTCTAATCTTCCTCTCACTGAAAAATTGGATGCAACTGAGTGTTTACATTTTTCAATTTGTTTGCTTTCTTCTGACCTAAGAGAGGGACCTGACACATTAGGCAGTAAATTCTTTCCTTGCATTCTCTTCTTTCCTCCATTGCTTCCCTTTTCATATCTTTTCACATTTGCCTTCTCTTCAAGCTGTTTTTATCCCACTAAAGGTAGGATCTTGCTTACTATGTCTCTTTCCAACTCCAATCTTTTGAAGCCATAATAGTGAACAACTGCAAGTTTCACCTTCCCTGTAATTCTCACCTCATAGAAACATCAAAATCTGTGTGGGACTGTACAACTTCACTGGCACTCCTTACCACTCATTTTGTTTTCAACTTCTGTTCACTTTTATGTAGTCTGTGACACATACCAGGTGCTAACAGAGGAAGACCACTGTTGTTATTATTTCACCTTTTAGAATTGATTGCTAACTTTGCCTGCCTGAGTTAGTGTCAAGTAGTCTTCTGCACAAATTGGACTGCAGTGGAACTACCATATAACTTCTACTGCTGTAGTAACTGCTACAGCTGATGCTGCAAAAACGAATTATGCAAAAGCTATGTATTTAGATAGTTACTGCTGTCACTATATTTTGTCTGTCAGACTTCCTATACATGGAGCTGAATACTTTGAAATGTACCTCTATCAGATTCAATTAATTTTACAATTGTATATGTTTATCTAAATCTCCTTCCTACTGTTTGGTACTTAGATACAGGTGAAAAAGGTGATATCTTTCTCCTTGTGTTCACATTTAGATAGTCACTTAGTATTTTGTTCTTCAAAAGACACATTTTCAGACACGAATGTGTTTACATAAATCATACCCTGCCTTTTCCTTCTAATACCTATGTAAATGTTCAGGTCAACCTTTGAAATTAAATCCATGTTAAAACTTTTTAGCTGGAAATGTTCAATAAAATGTTCAGTAACATTTAAGAGTGTCATTGCATAACACAGAATATTACTTTTCTGCATTCAATATTAAGATGAATATCCTGGTAACAAAGGTGTTCCCTACCAATGTTTATACATTTTGCTTTCCAAGGAACTCTTACTGTCATGTTTGTTTTCACTTTTAAATGTGGTCTCATGCTCTCAGCTTTGTCTTCCTATTCCTCACTACCATTTAGGTTTTGAACTCATTGATTCTCATTCAAGCAGCACATTCACTCCCATTTTCAGTGTATTTTTAATAACCCAACTTATCAACTGCTAAGTTCTCTTACACTTTTTAAGAATCATTTTAATTTATTCTTTTATAAAAATCCCCCTTTGGTATTTTTCTCAAAAAATGAACACTAACTTCAATAATTTAGATTCATGGCCTGGTTCAGGGCTCAGATCTGTCTGCAGTTCTGTGTTCATGTTCTGTATGTGCAATTTGTTGCAAGCTTAGTCAACCATTTAACTATATCCAAATACCTTAAAGCTGTATGTTGTTATGCCTTCTTGTAGAGAAGAAAAGTGCCTGCAAACTGTATAGTAAGGAATAGTAAGAAATAATTTTTATGCATTTTTGGGGTTGGAAAGCGACTTCAGTTCTGTCCAAGAATGTAATTATGCAGTGTTGCCACCTCACACCCTTGGTTGTGAGCTTTGTGGGCATTAATATTTGTCATTCTCATGGAGGTCAATTAACCTGTCTGGAATGAAACCAGACTTGTACTGTGTCCCTGGAGGAATGTAGTCCCACCACCCTAATCTCTTACCGCAGTGCTTAGGGAAAAAAAAAGTCAGAGCTGTTTGCAGAAGGGGTCAAAGAAGTATCCTTTGCTTACTTGAGCTAATTTGGTTTTGCTTTATAACCTCATCAGATATTTATTTACAAGTTTTAGCTTTTATTTTACAGGGTATGAAAAAGAACAAAAATGATGCAAAGAAAATAGGGCCTCTAAAGCTAGCTGCCCTAAATGGACTAACTTTGACTAGAATGCCTCTGCCAGATGAGGGGAAGGAAGAGTCATCAAGAGCAACAAATGATGAACGGGTATGTTGGAGTTCTTTAATGCTTGATTTCTCTTTTATACTAATGATTTTAAAAAATGAAATGCATGTGAGTGGTGCTTTGTGTTGACTTTAAAATGCATCAAATTCAAAGCAACTCAATACTGAGACAGAAACAAAAGACTGAGACTACCCATTGGTAAGTGAATGCTGGACATATTGGGTGTAACTCTGATTTTTCTTTAAGATTTAAGATCACAGTGACTGAGATTATAATTCACCCTTCGAACATACGGGAAGCAAATGATCTAGTATCTACTGATACATTTTGGTGCCAAGTCTTTCTGTTTTCTCCCTTAATTTTGAGGTTTTCCAGACTGAAAATTAAAATTTGGAGTGTGAGATTGGATTTGCCTGTAATTACTAGTTATTCATAACATCTTTAAAATAAATTTTGTAGTTAGATTGCACCCACAGGGTACTGCTTGTGCAGATTGTATTTATCTGTTTTCCTTGGGTGGATCCCTGAAGATCCAGATGGAACTTGTGTAGTGTGCAGAAATTTTACATTCAGTAAAAGATTTCACACCACTGAGAGGACATCAGGTTCTGATGAATTTGAGGATCTTTCTTTGAGAAATACTTTATCTGCTTGTGCCAGGGTAAAAAAAAGGTTACTAAATATACTTCATCCTGCCTCATATACCATTAAATAGGTGCAGGAAAGTGAAATTGAGTCAATATCCAGCCTGTGGAGGGCTATGTAGAACAGTGCTTTCATCACATATCTGACCAGGGAGCAATTAGATGCATCAAGTTCTGCAGTGATTATTGTATGTTCTGCGACCAGTGGTCTCTTTAGAATCTGGTTCTGAGCATAGGTTGGCTCCTCAGCTGCAAACCCCCTCTTGCTCAGTTTGTTGTCAGTCACTGGACAGAGGTTAGAACCTGAATCATAGAATCATAAAATCAACTAGGTTGGAAGAGACCTTTAAGGTCATCAAGTCCAACTAAAAGAACAGGCCAAGTCTTGCCAGCTGCAGTTTTAAGGAACAGGACAAGGAAATTATGTGCAAGTCACACAGTGGAAATTCGGTCTTGGAGTTTGACATCTTGGAGTGAGATCCATGGAAGGAAGATTTGACTGTTCCATTTCAACATATTCTTTTTGAACTATATATATACTTCTTAAAATATGCTAAAGGGCAAAAATTAACGTTATGTTATTGAGTTAAAGTTCTACATTTAGTACCTGAGTTGGTTACTTCTTACTTAAAGCCATCATCTCTTCCTGGATTGACTTTTATTGAATTCAGTCATGTTATCATTCAGCTAGCTCTGCCCAAAGTGTTGAGGTAAAAGAAGAATCCATAAAGTCAGGTTATGAAGAAGACATGCCACTACAGTCTCATCAGGCAGTAAAGTGGAATAACTACCATGAAATGGGAGTAGTTCCTACCTAAACAGTTGAGAAGAGACAATGCAAAGTAGACATATGACACAAAGTCCAAAGTGCAGATATTTTAGAAGATGACTTTAAATTTGATTCACTGCCTGTTTCATTGCTCAGCTTCATGCTGTTATCAGTTTAAATGAGGGAATTTCACTTAAAGATCATAAAGGAGTTTGTATAATTGATGTGCAAATTGTGTATGATTGAGGTTTTACTCCTTCCTCTGCAACATTTGGCATTACAGTTATTTGATACAACTTTTCTGACCTGATACCACAGAGCAGTTGCTGTGAGAGGCTGGGGACATGTGACATGGATGAAATTTTCTGGCTGAAATCTTACATATTATTCCTCTAATTATTGTTGGCAAAGAGATGGTGAAATTCCAGATGCATCTTATGATTTAGAAAGAATTTGGTTTCGAAAGAATGAATTGGGCGAGTGGGGGAAAGGGAGGGAGCAGCTTATTAAATGAAATGGAGTCGTACTAGTGAAAAAATCCTGGGGTTTATATCTCAGCCACAGCAAGAGGTTCTAAGAAGGCTTTAAGACTATATTCAGAGTTTATTATCTTCAGCTTAAGAAAATATGGAATATTGGTAGTGAATTACCAGCTCATTGACTTGAGGCAAGTGTTTTTTATATTTTTAGAGTTTTTCTCTATTCAAATGACAAAGCTGGCAATATGGTTTTGGATTACAAATTTAAAGGAGACCTTTTCAAATCATGTAATCTAACATTTTATCTTGAGCCAGAGCATTAATGAGTATTTCTTGTTCAAAGGTATTTCAGATGGTTTGTAGTATAGCCTAGTTATCTGGTTTGGCCAAATATTTTTTGCCCAGCTGGGCTGTCTTCGTAGAAACTATGAAGTAATCTTTCTTTCACCAGTGGTATCCACAGTGTTTGTGACCTAATGAAGCACAACAGGCTCCTTAGTTTGCACTTGAACAAAATTCACGCTGGTTAGGTTTTCTTCTGATTTATTCTGGTATGTTTGTGAAAACATTAATAGCTGGAAAAGCACTGAAAATATGTGTAAGAGAGGAAAATGCGTATGTTTTATCCTTCATGAATTCTCTGTTAAAATAGACTTGCCTTGGAATGTGACTTTATATGGTTATCCGTGTCTGTCTTTCAGTGTAAAGTTCTGGAACAACGGTTAGAGCAGGGGATGGTGTTTACAGAGTATGAGCGCATTCAGAAAAAGAGACCTACAGATGGTGAGTGCTCGATAGCTCGGCTCCCTGAAAATGCTGAAAGAAACCGGTTCCACGACGTGCTTCCTTATGATGATACCAGAGTAGAGCTAGTCCCAACCAAAGAAAATAACACGGGTTACATCAATGCATCTCATATCAAGGTGAGAGAAATACTGCTGGAAAAACATTTTCTGGTTCATGTGGTAACTAAAAATTGATTTGGCTATCAGTTGTGGTTCGGTCAGATGCATGAAAATCCCTCCATCTCTCTCTCTTTCCCTTCTTCTGCAGAGGTTTCTTTGAGGAAAGGAGCAACCTATTTTTCCTCATTACCTCATAACAGAGGGTTAATTATTGGAGAGGTCTTGTGCATTTCACTTCTGTATTGATCTGCTGTCTCTTTTCCCTCTCTCTCTGGATTGCTGCTAACAGAAGGCATATCCACTCTTTGAAGAGTTAAGAAGGCAAATAGCTTTATAACAAACTGGGATCCTTTACAATGATTGTGATATTTTTGAACTGCAGTAACAATAATTATTTCTTCTTTTTCTGTACTCTCTGACTTGATCCACAACAGGCAGTATGCCAGCTCCCAGCTTAAGCTTTTTTGAGTGGTTAGAGGAACAGATGGAGCCAAGGGGAAATCTGCTTTTTCATTATCTTCAGTTGCCTCCTTTCTTCAGCTTTAGCTATTTAAAAGTGAAGTTGCAGGGTAACCTCAAGAATGATCAAAGCATTTTGTTCATTTTTCAATGCATCTACCTACTTGAAGCACAACCACAAATACAGTTGGCTTCATGCTTTCTCTGAGAAAAGTTGAGATCATCAAAGCAGCAGTTGCAGTTGTGTTGCCTTTTTTAATCCAACTGACAAGATACCATTGTTTCTATACTTGAACTCATTCACAAATATTGAGTAACTCTTCTGATCCTTCCCAAACAAGATAATGTTTTTTGAGGAATAAGCTAATTCTGACTCTTTAGTGCATGAAATAGCATTTAAAGCACCAGGGTATGAAAGCTTCTCAAAACCACAGTTCACTAGAATACCTCAAGGTTGCAAAAAAGAAATACAATTTTATTTACTCACTTAACAATATGCTTGTGATGTAAAATATATTTATTTAGCTATGTGCCTATACAACTTTAAACATCGTGTCTCTTCTGCGTCTAATGTGACAAGATGCAGCTAAAGAATGGGAGTTAGATACAACAATGGTCTCCTACTGCTGCAGTGTTGCTGTCGTTTTTCAGTTTGTGAATGTTGATATGGCTGACTTAAGAATCGGAGAAAGGGATTTTGGTAATTACTAAGCTAATGTCTTTCTTTTACAGGTCTCTGTTGGAGGCATAGAGTGGGATTACATTGCTACACAAGGCCCTTTGCAGAATACATGTCAGGATTTCTGGCAGATGATCTGGGAACAAGGGATTGCCATCATAGCTATGGTGACAGCAGAGGAAGTGAGTACAAACTGAGTCAGGTTTCTCCCAGAAAGTCTGCAGTGCTTTTGTTACGATCTGTTAGTGGAAGGGGATCTTTGCTCCAACAGAAAGACCAATCAAAGATAAATTTCTGGTGACCCATTTGCCATGTCCTTGGCAGAAAGATATAAATTTGCAACCTCTTTTCGCAGGAAAGTTGGTTTACTCATTGAGAAACCATAACACTGTAGTAGTACATAATAGAGGAGAGAGACAGTTCTTACAGGAGCATTAGTTGTATGAGTGTTCTTACGTTTCTTGTTAAGCAACTATTTTACTTTTAAGGAAAGTGGGAGAGAAAAAAGCTTCAGGTACTGGCCACGTCTTGGTTCAAGACACAACACTGTAACCTATGGAAGGTTTAAGATTACCACACGATTCCGTACTGACTCAGGCTGCTATGCAACTACGGGTTTGAAGATTAAACATCTTCTCACAGGACAGGAAAGAACAGTTTGGCATCTGCAGTATACTGACTGGCCAGAGCATGGCTGTCCAGAGGATTTAAAGGGATTTCTCTGTAAGTTGTATTTAATAGCTTTGGTTTGGGGTTATTGGGGTGTTTGGGCTTTTTTTGTTTTTATTTTTGTAACTATTTTGCTATATGTGAATTAGCTTTGATCAGTGATGCCAAGCATTCTTCTGAAAAGATTTCTTCTCAACAGCAAGAGATACTGAATTACATTTTTAGCAGGAATATACCTGGCAGTTTGATAAAGTGACTGTTTATGCCTAGGCCATATATATAATTTACTAAAAGTTCAGATACATTAAAACATAATTGTATCACATACTATGCATTTGAGTATGTTCCAGCAGTAGCAAGATGGCTATGAGCCAGCTTTGGTGGGGAATATGGGAACAAGGCAAAGAAAGCCTTATGAATGTTAGATGGTCTTTATAGGTCTGTATTGCTTTGCTTGGGATATAACTTGTGATTTATACAGGGTGTCATTTTTCTGTGGGATGTCATTTATTAGATTACTACTTTTCTGACGGTCATATGGTTTGATAGCATGGCTCATGGGGCTTCATCTCCTAATTGTTTTATTCTCATCTTGTTGAACTTAATAGCATATTTGGAAGAGATACAGTCAGTGCGGCGCCATACAAACAGCACTGCGGATCCTAAAAACGCCAATCCTCCTGTACTGGTACACTGCAGTGCAGGTGTAGGACGAACAGGAGTGGTCATACTGTCAGAGATCATGATTGCTTGCCTGGAACACAATGAGGTGATCTCTTTTCCTTTCTCATGCTTCAAGTAATGTTAGGTAGTGGATGAGTAAATAACCCACCTAATAAATGTTTAATGGCTGTTCATCTGAACTTTCCCAAGATGTGGCCTTCAGAAGAGCCCTTACGACTGTGGTTGAAAGAGCTCTTAGCAATTCTGCAGAAGCTAATAGTCTTCTAGAGTTGCCCACTTATACAGTGGATACTGGAATGCTCATTTGGATTCTTGACTTGATAAGATATTGAGTCACTGAATAGAACAAGGAATGCTCTAGGCTACGAAGCATATTTCAGGATTTCACCCTGACTTTACCACTTTTACTTCATGCCTTAGTTTTAATGGATAATATTCAAAATATGCTTTGTAGCCAGTCTCTGTGCTTGTTATTAAATATTTTGATTCTAAGTGTAGTGTATTTGCAGTATCAATCTCAGCAGAGGACAAAGCAGTAGTTTAATAGAATAAAACCTGGTCCTATCAGCTTTTAGTGGAAGTGAACAGCTGTAAAGTGTTTATTAATAATGTAATATGCTAGCTGAGACTCAACAAACTGTTTTGTTATGCATCCCTGCCCTACCACTGTGACAGACTTTTGCAATCATTAGATTTGTGAAGAGTCCTACCCCATGACATGGGCAAGTTTAACATTATGCATATTTCATAGATGAGGAAGTAGGCATGGTGTAATGCATGCACAGGCAATGAATTGCTGGAGTTGACATTAGACAAGCTGATTCTGCTCTTAGATCACTGGTACTGCTCTGAACCTCCTGCTGAGAAAGTGCAAGCCAGCCTCCTTACTCACCAGTCACTTTTAACAGTTTGTTTTCTTCCTCCAGATGCTGGACATCCCACGAGTGCTGGACATGTTGAGGCAGCAGAGAATGATGATGGTGCAGACTCTTTCACAGTACACTTTCGTCTATGGAGTTCTCATTCAGTTTCTCAAAAGTTCTAGACTTATATAGTCCCTGCCACTTCCTAAGGAACATTGCAAGAGTTTACAGAAAGACCGCTACAGTTGTCCAGGCAGACCTGCTCTCACCGGTGTCTTCTTCCTATGAAGAATCACACAGTTACCTTTTAGGGTTGGTATGTGACTGTTAAATGCAAGTCAGAGTAACAGTCCCTGCAAAGTAGGATTTTCACTGGTCTAAATTCTTCCCATGTTCAGCTGCAGTTATATTAGGGAATAATTTTACTTGTACTGCTCTGTAGTACTTGCATATATTCTTTAGAGTGGTGTTACTCTGGTCAAAGTAAGTATATTATGGAATGGAAGTACATGGCACAATTTTACTAATGTTATGTTTTAAAACATAGTTGTTAGCTGTGTGAAAGCTAAACCCTGAAGGTGCACATGGGCTGAGAAGCCTGCTCCTTGGGAATGTCAAGGTCTTACGCAGTTTCATTCTGCTTTCAATTTTATATTTAGAACAATACAACTGTATTTTTTCAAATGAACTCTTAGTTTCCTCTGGTTTACTCAGCAAAATTAGAAGCTCTTGGATATTTCAAGCTGTTGCTTTAAGGGCAGTTCTTTTTATGTTCAGCCTTTTTTAATTAAAAAAACCCCAAACACCACAACCCAAAACTTTTTAAACACAGTAATATTTTCAGTGAAGACTGACAATGTTTGAACTAACTTTTAAAAAAATCAGAAAGTATTAGGGAGGGCTATTGGTAGTTACTTGTAGTGCTGTGTAATAGAACTGACAAATGAAAGATGATAACTGTTAGTAACTTTCATTTGAGCGGAGGCATGTTTGCCTGCAACAAACGGGGAAAATATTCTAATTATCTACAAGGTTGTTGGAAACAAGTGGATGAGATAAAGTACATATTCAGTATTATTCATATATTTAGAGGACAGTTTGATTTTACTGGCTGAAATCAAAGTGGATGCAAATGTTTTAAGCACTTTCTTTCTCTGTTATTTATGTAGTTAAACATAGAAATTATAATCATGCATTATTGTTTCTTGCGGTAATATACCATTACTAACCTGTAATTTTAGAAAGAGCCTTTTAAGTTGGTGAAGTGAGAGAATCAAAATTGGAGTAAGAAGGTGCATAGTGGTGAAGTGGAAATGATCGTATGAAACATAATGGAGGAGGTGTGGCAGCAATGATTGCTGGTTTACACAGTGCAAAGGTGACCAGTAAAAATGTTTATGTTCTCAGTCAAGAAAGCTGTTAAAGCACTGGAAGTTTCTGTAGAATCCTCCACATTATTTTGTCAGTACTAGAACAGATTTTGCTAATGCTGTGCAGTGTTGCAATGAAAAATATCCATAGAAGCTGTTTGAGGACACCTGCAGAATGTAAGAGCTCTTAGAGGCAAGACTGGAGATGTGGGTATTTTAGTAGCTGTGTAGGTGGCTGAGTCAATGGCTGTGGCATGTACCTAAAGAGAATTGTACCTCTGGTGGTTTCCGTTTTGTCCTGTGGTCTGGTTTAATGATGGTATCCCTAAATAGTCCTCTGTCTGTGGTTTTCAGATGGGGTCAGTGTGGTTTTTACCTGCCTTCTCAAGTGTTTTGTGATGCTGAGTTGAAAATCCCTGTTCAAAAATGAAGTACTGGTTTGTAGATACCTGGTTATTTTTAAAACAGCCCTACGGTAGACCAGTCTGCACGCATGTTTAAGTGTCCATTTCCCTTGATATCTCCTTAGCAAAATGAAATGAAACTGCAAGTCATTTTTATTATTGGCAAAATTACTTGTTTTTTTTTTTCTGAGCTATAGCAAGGGTTTGGAAACTATTAGGAATAATTAAAACCCCTTCAAGATAATAATTGTCTCACAAAACATTAATTAAGAATTGTAAAGAAGTTGCCTCAGTTTCCTCTGTAATAACCTACTTCCACAAAGGAAAACACATGGTCCAAATGACATTGTGCTAATAGGTCATTCTATATAGAATATATTAAAGTACACTGTTACTCTGATTAATCTAGTGCATTTGGTCTGCTTTCAGGCAGTCTGAATTGTTCTATTCTTACTAAAAGTAATATAGAATATTTCAGATGAGGAAAATATATGTTCTTTTTATAACTACAAAATGCCTGTAAAGTGCCAAATGTAAAACTGGAAGTTCAGAGGAAAGCAGTTACTGAAGACATTCTTTTCTCTAGAAGGCCTGAAAACAAACCAGTCTAACATCTGTGTGTTAACAGAAGTATTGAAAGAAACAAACGTTCTTAGCTATTTGCATCATGCTGTGTTTTAAAAACCTTGATAGATTTTGCCACAGTTCACTTGTATCTTCAGAAGTATTTCTGAATAGGAAGGTATGCTCTAAAAGGTAACTCATACCATTTCAACACTACACTTTGGACTGTCATCCTCAAGCCTGCTGCATGCAGCTTTTAATGATATTATACCCAACCACAACTTCAAGCAACAATTTTTAGCAGTTCAGCAGTTACTGGGACAGAACATAAGCTGTGAGGCATTAAAAGGAGCAGTTAAAACAAGTGATTTAATCCTAAATTTGTGGGATTATCTGAGGTGGGTGAGGAAATGTGTGTCTTTTGGCTTGCTTTTCTGTTCTGCTGAAAGAAGTTGTGTTCACATTTAGAGGCAGTTGCTCTTTAAGCTGATAGTCACGGTCTTGATTTGTATGTTTTTAAGCATAGCACTGCTACCTCCTCCACTTCAGCCTTCAGTTCCGTCCGTCAGTAGCCTGTGTTTGCATTAACAGACTTGATCTTAACAGACTTGACTTTATGTGAGTTTTCCTACTGAAAGAGCAGGACTGCTTTTGTATGTAAGCATATGGCTCCAAGTGAGTACTGAAAATGAGCAGTTTCTCTTCTAAAGATACCAAATGAATATAAACTTTACAACGTCCTGTAAAAAAATTAATTTTAAACCCATTGTTTAGATTTTCAGTTAGCTTTTAAAAGAAAATCCAGATTTTAGCACTTTGTTCTGAGCCTTGAAAAGGGATGCTTTTTTACATGTAGTTGTGCTGAATGCTCCATGAAGTGTTGGACATTTTAAGAACATCCACTGTCCAAATCCAGTCAGAGTGTGAGTTGGGTGTGGATTTATTTGTCAAAAGAGTAAAATTCTACTATAAGCATGTCCTTTTTGCCAGATGTGCTTCTGTTCCTGTGGGGATGAAACCAGATTGTTATGCAAGATTTGAGCTTTTTATAGTAAGAAAAGTTGTGTGAAGACATTCTTGCAAAGATGATGTTGATCTCTAGAGATGTCAGAGCTCTCAGGGATAAGTAAAGGTGCTATATACTGTGAAGAGACAGATTTGACTGTTTTTTTATGGGCTACATGGAAGATTACTTCTTAGCATCAAAGCCTATGAAGAGTCAGGAGAAGAAGCCACAAGCTGTAGTAAGGGCTTCTGCACATTTGATTCTTTTCTTGGTTGCTCTGATGAGAGATTTTCTGGCTACTGAATCTTGTGATCTTGGCCTAGCAGCTCTTGTCTGAGCACATGAGTCAGAGCCCTGTTCATTGCAAAGATGTCGCTGACTTAGCAGGCTTAACCGTAGACTGCAAATCACTCCTCACCCCATTCTGGGAGGGAGAAGCTCTGTGGTACACAGGGGAGTTTTGCATAGCTTTTCTGCCTCCTGCACAGTAGTTCTCGCCTTTTTCTGCTGTCCCGCATGAAGAGCAGAAAAAGTTTTATGCCGTAGTGTTGCTGTCCTGGTAATACCTTTTAAACAAGCAAACAGTAAAGACTTCAAGTAGGTTTATGGTTTATATCTAGGAATCTAACTCAAAGCAGGTGAGCAAGGCAGAGTTCTCAAGGATGAGAAGCTGCTCTAGGTTATCATCAACATTTAGAAAAAAGTAAAATGAAGTAATAAGTAAAATAAATGTGTACTAAAATGGAAAAAATTCTTGGCATTTTGAGCAATGTATTTTTGGCTCCCCTTGTGATCCTGTGTATCTTTTGTTGAAGTGGATGACATTAGGAGCAATTTTCTCCAAAAATGCTTCTTAATTTTCATAATTAAGACTACCTGAGGCTGCTGCTACATTTTTCTTGTTGGAGCAGCTGAAGTTGGGTGACTCATAGATTTCAGTGGGCTCTGGACCAAACTTGGGAACTGCAGGGTGCTTTATCATACCAGCTAGCTGTGCAGTGAGACCTCAGTTTTAACAGGAGTAGTGTTACTAAAACCCTGGACTTAAAATTAGTGAACTCATTACTATATTTCAATAGTTAGTTCAAATTGTTAACTTGAAAAACCCAATGCTTCAATTGCTAAGAACACTCTGCTTTGGGGTTTGGTTGTTTTTCAATACTGCAAAGTTGTGCAGTCGAGAGTCCAGTCCTGCAAGACGCAAAATTCCTGCTTCTTGGTACTGTAGGAATTAAAAAGGGCTTATTGCCAAGGAAAGTTTGAGCCCTTAAAGCATGAATACTCACATGTCTGCTTTAGATTTAAATACAGATTACAAGAATTAACCAAAAGAATGCAGTAGGACTGTGCATACATGAAGCTACAGTATTCAAAGGAAAAGCAGCTGAGATAGTTCGTTACAAATTCTCTTGTGAAAGTACAAAATGTTGGAAGCAGAAAGTGAGGATTTGAGGAATGGCTGAAGGCATTTGGAGGAGGATTTGGAATGTTTTGTATCTGCAGTAGAGCTGCTAGGAGCATTTGATTCATATGGTATGTTTGTCTTGGCATGGTAGGGTAAATTAATATGTAGTCATAGGTGTTATTTTTACTGGCTTTTTAAAATGTGATTTTTTTTTTTTTTAATTACAAATATTTCTTGCAGAGGTTCCGTTATTTTTACACATCTTCCTTTCCAAATGTTTTTAATTCAATCTGTCAGCTCAGTTTCTATTTACTTATTAAAGGTCAGATTTTCAAACCATGGTCTTTGGTTTTACACATGCAAAATGCAGGGGGAATAGGCATACATGCAACTTTGCAGTGGTAATTTCTAAATGGATGCAGGTTAGATGATTTCAAAGTCTAAATACCGTATGAATGCAGCCAGGTGTTTACAGTAGGTGTGAACTGAACTAAGTTAAGGCTGGGCTGAAAATCAAGCCCTTGAAATGTGAAATTTAACATGTGTTTAGAAGGTGTGTTGTAGTACAGCATTTGCAATACAGTGATATTAAAATGATATAATACTGTGTTAAGGTAAGGGAAAAAATGTTAAAACGTCTAACAGTTGTTGTAAACATATTTGTAAAAATATTTAAAATAAACAAAAAATTCATAGTGAAATCCTGTTGGGGACCAGCTAACTTGGTGCATTCTGTTGGCACATGTTATTTTAAGGTCTACAGGGGCTGAAAAAAAAAGGTTTTGTTAACTTCAATGAGCATTTCAAAAGACAGTTGCTAAATGGCCTTTGGTTCTATTCTTTGCTATTTTCCACGTGATGCTGTGTTCAGTGGTGAAGAATAACCTCCAGTGCATTTGTTCTTTAGAAGACTATTCTTCATCTCTAATTAGGGAATGAAGATAGACATCAAATGCAAAGAATCTAATTAATAGAGTTTACAACAGGTCCAGCCTGTGGCAAGTTAGAGAGCAAGTCTTTAGATACCGTAATGATAGTTTGGTTCAGAAATGTGGCAAACAAAACTACCAAATCATTAATTTTATGAGCACAGTTTCAGAAGGTGCCTAACTTTTATAAAGGGAATTTAAATGCTGTTTTTTTTTTCCAGTTGGAAATATTTAGGTAGAATTAGGAGACTTTAAAAATACTTCAAAGACTTTGCAAGGAAACTCGATGGGAG